TGTAGTGACTTGCTTTGTGACCATTGTAAAATGGTTATAAAATCAGATCAGGTCATGTGGCAACTCACTTAAACACCACCCTAACTTACTATTAAAATTCTAATGTCAATTGTGGTTGTAAATTGAGGACTAGCTTGTATAGGGAGTTAAAAGAGTAAAGAGTCCTTTCACCCTTAGCATGCGGTGTTCCTTTTCACATCAGTCTTTTTGTGATGGTTCTTGCAATGATGTTTAAGATGAGATACCAATTTATACTAAATAGCTATTTGAAAGCATAGATTTGTCATTTCTGATTCAGAATGTGTACAGCAATCATAAGAGCTCATTGAAATGGTCATTTTCAAGAGGCATATTAATGGAAAATGATCCTGATCTATATTTATATTTTCTTATTTCAAAATGAAATGTTATCAGTTACAAATGGGAAAACTCAAGCTGTAAGTAAGGAGTATTTTTGAGTAAATGTACGCAGGTTCATATTGATATCTTTCTGATAGTGATTGAGGGAGATGCAACTTAAAACTTCAGCTTAAGAGACCTTTGTACTGCACTTTGGCTACCGTTATGTTATTTTTTGCAGAAAAGACAAAACTTAGCTTTTGGTATGCAGTTTTCAGATTATGTAAATAGTTGACTTATCTATAGGCAGATCTCAGCAATGCAGGTTTAGCTTCTGGGTAATCATGTTTTTGCAAACCTGTAGATAACCTGTCAAAAATAAATGACTGATGGATATAGTGAAAGACTAGTCTAAGATTAGAATCTTGAGGCTTTCCATACACAAATGAATGATAAAGATCCTCTGTACTCTATATTATTTGTACCTCTCCAGCATCATTGTGACTCACATTTTAATTCTATAAATACATTAATATAAATGCAGAAGAAGTAAAGGGGAGAGGTAGGGAGACAGTGATTATATGGAAGGAAGTGTGCAAGTATGCTTTCTGATAACTGAATTGACAATATGGTTGAGGAGGGATTCATTCCTTCAAGGGTAACATGACAGCAGTGATTAATAGACATTGCAATCTACTTCAGAATAAATAGTTATAAGAAAGAAATGATGTTTGTTTATTCGTTTATTCATTTGTACATTGCCATTCAGGAGTTTCTTTTTCTTTTAAGTGTGTTTGTGTGGGTGTGGGTGTGTGGGTGTGGTGTGTGCCACATGTTATATTTTCTCAAAATGTTAAAATGTAAATGTTGCACATGTCAAACAGTTGCATTGTGATTAATTGATTGTTGATTAATTATTGATTGTTTCTGTGGCATCAAGTTGGTGTTAACTCTTAGCAAGCTCTTAGATTTTCTCCAGGAGATGTGTTGTATCAATTGTTGAGCTGTATTCTGTCTGATGAGCAAATTAGCATATATTTTCTTGAATGTGCACTTGGTGGCAAATGTGAAATAAGCCTGAGTTAAATTTGTGAAATACCCTGATAGAAAAACTAATTACATAATGAAGTGTACCCTAGAAGAAAAAAATGTGTTACACAAAAAGAGGATAAATTCAGAATCTGGTTTCTATAAAATTTGCATTTGTCAATGTAACAATATTGGATGTCATTTAGCAATATTGACTACATTTAAATTAAAAAAAATAAGCAACTCTCTTCCTTGGTAGATGAAATTGTGACCAGATAACTTAAGTACCCACCTCGGTTTAGAGTCCAGCATTAAATATTGATGAGTCATTAGACGTTTTCAGAAATTCAGAGTTCTCTCTCTAGCTCTCTTAAATATTTTGCAATAGACAAAAGAAAACGGATTTCAACATAATGTTGAAAATACCTTTAAGTGTTCAGTTTCTCAACTTGTCCACTCAGTTCGGTCAGCAGTTTCCATGTGTACTGTACATAAAGCTAAACATACTTACCTTTATCTTTTGGTAGCATTAAAACATGCTATTCTTGTTCTGCAAGTTAACATTTGAAGCTGGACTAGCAGCATTTATATTTGACAGCTTAATTAACTGTGGATTCTTGACCTTTGAGATGTAGGAATCCAAATGTAGTGAATTTATACATGAAGGGTGAAGATATACATTACATATATAGGAAACTATAAAAGCTAAGGAACATTGCCTTGAAATAATACAAAAGGGTCTCTATATTAAATATGGAAGAGTCTGTATAGGAAAAAGGAGATGTTCCTTCTTGTAAAACATTGGTAAATACTGTAATCAAATACCACAAAATATGGCAATGGTCACCATTATCCTTTAAAATGGTGTTCAACAGATCCACATGTTTACCATATTCAACTGAAGTTAATTTTCTTGTAACTTTAACCCATCTGATCTAATCTTGCCCTCTAGGGAAGAGGTTTTTAACTGGCTCTTTAGGTATTTGAGGAGCGCTTTTATGTCTCTGCTCAATCTTTTCTTCTCCAGGCTAAATATGTATCATAATTCGCCTAGGATTTCATTTACAAACTGCTCCCAGGGGTAAAATCTCAGGGAGCAACAGCAACAGAAGTGATCACAGGTGCTTTCTCAGAGATTGAAGCAGTTCGCGCACACATTGTACAGCTACCAAATATTGGCTTTAAAAATATAAATGACCACTAAATCACAGTAAAGCATTATTTTGTGTGTGTGTAAGAATCTCTTTGCCTCTATGTAATGATTAACCAAACCACTACACATTGAGACTGATTGTCACATCCGATTGCCACTCCATATCTATCCATCTTGCTGCCCTAAACAAACGTTTCTGCACTTGCCAGCCCTGCAGAAGGTTACAACCTGGTTTAAATTTCTGAATGCCTAACCAGACATCTATGCTTGTAGAGCCTCCAAGATGATTGCTGCTCGACTTTTACAATATTCATGCCACAAGCCAGAAATTGTAGTTTAGCTACATTTCAAAAGCTGCAGATTCTTCCCCACTAGCTCATTTATTTACTAACAGTTAACTAAAGCAGAACTATAGAACTTGAGGCATCCATATATCTGTGCCTAAAATTTCCTTTACCAATAGTTAGCACAATGTGTACTCACAGATTTTGAGAGTTAATATTCCAGAAACATTTGGAAGGCCACTAATTGTTTAGTTCTAAACTAAACAATTATACATACTTATACATAAATCATGTCCTTTACATTTCATTTTCTTAGTTCAAGGTGCTTTTCTTGCTTTTGTTCTTCTTTCAAAATGCTAAGACACATTAGATGTCCAATCAATTGTTTTAATAGTATTCGCTTTTTGCTGATGATTCAGACCCTTCCCCCGTAATCACCTGAATGGTGCTTCTATTAATAGTGTTTATCTTCAGCATCTGTCTGATTTCAGAACAAGTTGCTGAAGTTGCTGAGCAATTCCGTTTCATTAAATAACTTAGTAATTGAGATGTTTTACATAGAGCTATATCCTGTACATGTGATGTGTGGCTGAATTAAGGTTAAACTTTTGTGGTGTACATGGCTCTGGAACTAAATAAAAATAAGCCATTGTTTGTCATTGACTTTTAACAGCATTCTTCTGTAAGCTTATAATATCATTGAAGATGCTACCTTTGATTAAAATAACCCCATAAAACTGATACATAGGAAAGGTGCATGTAGGTGGAAATGGAAAACTTATATCCCACAAGTTACATCCAACTTTCACTATACACAATTTATAGTTCCATCATCTTAAAAAGCTTGGTGCTAAAATTGGTTGACAAAATGTTCAGATTGTGGTGATACAAGTTTTCATAGTTTTTTAATTGTTATCTATAAAACATGGAAAAGACCAAATGTTGGCTCTATCCCTTCTGCCAATGTCAAAATACAGTATCAGAAAAAAAATATCCCACATTCACATAAAAGTTTGGGAGACTTTCAAAGGTTGCTCATCTCATTTTCGAAGATGTGTTTTTGTGCATCATAGATTTCTGTGTGACAACAAGGATTAGTAGAACAAAGGTAAGGAATACTCTGGTTTTTATGCTGTTGTCCAGCTCAAGCTGTTATATGGAGAGTCTTCTGGGTGTGCATGGAGCCATATCACTTTCCCTTTGTAATGGGATCAAGTAAATCATAAAGTTGAAAATAAATTCCTATTTCATCCTAATGGGAAAGCTTTGTCGCACCCTTTATCCTGGTACATTTGGCCTCATGTTCTGATCACGTATGCCTGCGCCACCCCTGGTTGCCTTTTTAAGGGTACCTTTCACCTGACACCCATATATGCCCGTTACCGTCACCCCTCTCCGGGGTAGACCATTAGTCCAGGTGGAGCTATATTCTTGGTCTAGCACTTTCTCCTATATGGATACATCTCTTAATGCTGTACAAATATTCTTTAATAAGAATATTAAAAAGTTTCAAATCATGATTATATAACCTAATTTGAATGGGAAATTATAATTAAAAAGGTTTTTAATGAAATTTTCCATCTTGAAAGAGGAAGAAAAAGTACTATATGCTCATATACTGTTCATATGAAGCTAAGGTACAATAGTTTAAATACAATCTGTCTATATGAAGGTCATGATTTTTATTATTTAGAAATAGAAAATGTTTATCCGTCCTAGAAATTTCTTATATTTCTTATGCCTTATGCAAGGCATAATAATACATTTGGGCTTCTGATTTCCAATAGCTTAACAGTTGTAAGCAAATGTAAATGCTGTGTGTGTTTGTGTAATTAGAATTCTCAAGAAACTTGCTGGCTTCCAAGTATATGCCAGTATGGGTATGTTTTATATATATAAATTATATTCATCTTGAGCATAACTAATTTAACTTGGAAAAGTGGGGCTTTCAAAATATACCTTTGCACTGGGAAACAGTTGTATTATCTGAGATGATGAAAGTTGCATTTCTGGTACTTCAGGTTTGTTTTTTTTGAATGCTCAAATTTAAAAACAGTTTTAGGTGTGTGTCCACTGAGCCATGTGCTTTTCTTCCTAGGTCAGCATGGCAGATTCCAGGCTACTACTGTACTCACAAGTGTATAATTTTCTGCACAGACACCTTCAGCAGGTGCATATCATGGATCACTAGCCACATGTCGGTGGTCAGACAGTGGTCAGAATGCAGTATTGCAGGCAAATTCTGCTGACTGCCAGCAGTTCAATTCTCACTGGCTCAGGGTTGACTCACCTTTCCATCCTTCTGAGGTCGGTAAAATGAGGACCCAGATTGTTGGGGGCAATATGTTGACTCTGTAAGCCACTTAGAGAGAGCTGTAAAGCATTGTGAAGTGGTATATAAGTCTGCTATAGCCATTGCTATTGCCATTTGAAATTTTAAATATTGGATAGTGATATTTATTTTGGAGGTCTTCTCAATTTCTGTTGCACAAGTGCATGGAACTACAGGCAAATGTTCAGTAACTGTTGCAGCAAAACTGGTGAATACTAGTGCACAATACTGCTATTTCTGGTTTCCATGGCCAATTAAATCTTTTCATTGTTTGCAAAGTTTTAATTCCCTAGAAGCATATAGTTATGATGCCCTTTTTGAGCAAAGAAAGATTGAATGACTTTGCTGTAAGCTGGCCTGGATTTGTGGCCCAGTGAAAAATTTAAACACAACTAATGATAATAAACAGAGTGATTTGCGGTGATGAAATGTGGCCTTTATAATTAAGCAAAAATAGCTGAGATAAGAACTGGTTTAGCTACAAAACATTATTGCTTAAAGTATCCCTTTAGCAGCCAATGTTTTCCCTGTGTTGTTATCTTTCATGTTTGTAAGTTCAAACATACATTCATATCTTAAGCCTGCTTCGAATCATTGAAAAGAACAGATTTTTTTAAAAAAAATAGTTATTTGTGAGTAAAGACAGAATGTTAATGTACCACTTACTTAGTTGCATTGAGAGTTGTATAGCTTGATGACATAGAACATGTTTTGTTCAGAAGGCTCCCCATAAGGTTCCTAGTATTATCAGTTCTCAGGGGTAGATATTCAGCTGTTTATTTCAAACCCCATCCAACTGAGTGATGCTGCTAAAGTTTTGTTCCTGCCTTTGGAAGCCATTTAGGTTTGGATGGGGAAGAACAGACGTAATCTCAGTCCTAGCAAGACCAAGTGGCTATGAGTACATGGACTTTCCAGATTAAGGAACTTTCATTTCTAGTTCTACATAGGATGGCAGTTCCCCAGGTAGAACTGATATACAAGACTGGACTGTCAACCTGTGTTTCAAGACTGGGTGGGAGCTGTGACGAGGAAGGCATTGCACAGATTCACCAGTTACGTCCAGTCCTTGAAAGGGAAACCCTTCTCACAGTGACTTATGTTAGTGTTGTGTCATATGTGGATCATTGCAATATGCTCTGTTTGATAATAACAATGGTGACTCACTTAATAACCATTGTAAAAATGGTTTAAAATTGAATCCAGTCACAGGTTGACTTGACTTATAACTGCAATGACTTACGACCAAAATTCTGGATTCAACTGTGGTTATAGTAGCAGTATTCCGGTATTTGAGGAGCTGCCACAAAAAAGAGAGGGTCAGTTTATTTCCCAAAGCACCAGAAGGCAAGACAAGAAACAATGGATGGAAACTAATCAAGGAGAGAAGCAACCTGGAATTAAGGAGAAACTTCCTAACAGCGAGGGCAGCCAATGGAATAGCTAGCTTGCCTTCAGAAGTTGTAGGTGCTTCATTACTGTAGGTTTTTAAGTAAACACTGGACGGTCACCTGTCTGATATGGTATAGGGTCTCCTGATTGTGCAGTGGGTTTGACTAGAAGACCTCCAAGGTCTCTTCCAGCTTTATTCTGATTGATTGATTCAAGGACTACCTGTATATAAATATGAATATAACCTGCTTCTCAGGTTGAAATTTCTTTTTTCCTTTCTTGTCACAGGAGCAGTTCTGAAAGAAGGAAAGAGAAATCAAGGGATGCAGCAAGGTGTAGAAGAAGCAAAGAAACTGAAGTATTCTATGAGTTGGCCCATGAGCTACCATTGCCTCACAACATTAGCTCACATCTGGACAAAGCATCTATTATGAGGCTTGCAATCAGTTTCCTACGGACACACAAGCTGTTATCTTCAGGTAAGAAAAAAAACGTTTCAACCATGATCAATTCCATTGTATTATCTGATGACCCAGCAGCTCATCTTGTTTTCCAAGGAAATTCCAATTTAATAAACTTAACTCATTTTCTCCTACATGAGCTACAAGCTCATCAAAGACTTTTCTGAAGTCATTATTTCCCATTGCAATCATTTTCACAGAAGCTTCAGATAGGTAGCTTTACTTTTTACTCTCCTAAGAAATATAAAATGCTACTTTCTATTGTGAATAACAGAAGATGTCCCGTAACATGATTGCTGAGTTTTTCCTCCTAAAAGCCCTTTGTCTGTGCCTCTGCTTTGTAGAACATTGTAGGAAGAAAGCTGTGCTGGTTTATAGTAGCCAAAAATAAGGGATCTGGTGGCATCTTTTCAGACTAATGTATTTTATTAAAAGGCTTAATAAAAAAAATTTAGTATGAAAAGGTGCCACCAGATTTCTGCTGATTTTTGTCATGCGCAAGTAAAGTTAGATTTCCTTAATCCAGTTTTCCAGATGTTTTACACCAAAATTTTAATTGAGTCATATTGGCTTGGAATTTGGGTGTTGTAATCCAGGGCTTTTCAACCTTTTCACCCATTGTACCATTTTTAGGATATGGCAATATCCGAGTACCACCAGTCGCCTAGCAAGGTGTCAAAAACCTGATGACCCCCCCCAAAAAAGGAAAAAAGTGATAAAGTACAGGTAGTCCTCGACTTATAACAGTTCGCTTAGTGACTGTTCGAAGTTACAATGGCACTGAAAAAAGTGCCCCCCAAGCCACAGCCGAACAAGACACCTGCCTGCCCACCTGGCGGCGCTCTTCCTCCTGTCCGAGGTTTTCATTGTTGTGAGTGTTTCTGTTGAGGATTGGCAGCGGGGGTGGGGTGGGGGTGTTTGGTTTTTATTCCCCCCATCTGCCAGGTGGTTGCAGCAGGTTTTGGTCACTTCACATGACCCTGGGACACTGTGATTGTCATAAATATGAATCAGTTGCCAAGCATCTGAATGTAAATCACAAGACCCTGGAGATGCTGCAACATTCCAGCTGATCGGCGCTTTTTCTGGGCTCAGCAGAAGTGCCAGGATCAGTGCTGCTTTCCAGCTGATTGGTGTTTCTTCAGGGCTCAGCAGAAGCACCAGGATCAGTGCCTGGCACTGATCCTGGCACTTCTACTGAGCCCTGACAGCCCCAAAGAAGCGCCGATCAGCTGGAAAGCGGCACTGATCCTGGTGCTTCCGCTGAGCCCTGACAGTCCTGCAGCTCCAGTCATCTTTCGCTCAGGCTTTGTGGTGTTGCTATAGGTTCAGCTCATTCCCCTCCCCCACTACCACTTTTCTAGGATGGCCGCGTACCACCTGCCAGGTGCCAATGTACCACAGGTGGTACCCATACCACTGGTTGAAAGCCCTGTTGTAATCCAATGCATCTAAAATCAAATTAAGCTGTAAAATAAATAAAGTCAGTTGTTCAGCAATGTAGCACCAGTGCTGTTGTAGGAATCACCCCTATTGCAAATTAGCTGCTGAGTATATTAATGTTCAAAATTACTATTTTTCTCCCAGACAGTAAGATATATATTGTGGAAAAATACAAACTATAGTTCAGTTCAGAGCTTTATATTATGGTGATTCATGGCGCTCATACAACAAATTGTGAAGACGATGCTTTATATTGCAAAACCCATCATTCTTTGGTGTTGGACATGTTCAATAGCATCTATTGGGGGGGGGGCAATTGCCTTCTGTCTTTAAAGAAAAGACAAGCAGGAGCAATATAAGATGAATTTGATATATGTGCAGCATGTGAATTTGGTCTTTAATTCAAATCTTCATTTAGCCAATTTGGCTGGATAGATTTTGACAAATATTCCTATTCAGATCAATTTAGATACCGTTTTAAATATATCTTTGAATCCACTCTTTTTTCCCTTTCATCAAACAAGCTGGGGAATTAAGAAGGGATGTGTCTAGAAATTTGTTCCTTGCTATTTTTTGCTTAAACACCATCTTCTCTGTGCTACTTATATCAAAACTAGCTATAGTGTGGGTAGCTATGGATCCACCATAATGTGGATGGCTTGTCAATAGAAAACAGTAGAGGAAAATGATTAATTTGATATTTTCATTATTGTCTGATGTTCAAATTGGGAAATCTTTAGACTAGGGTTTAAGATTCATTTAAAACAACAGCTCTTCTTGTTTCCCTAAGGAAAAGTGAAGTATTGTCAGTGAATTACTGTCTACATAGTCCCAAGCTCCTTGGAAGGAAAAAAAGGGGGTCATAAATGTGATAAATAAAATAAGCATATTGTCTAAGTTGTGTAAGCAAATCAATTCATTATTTTACCACACAAGAAAGGAGTAAATATGTAAAATGAAACCTGGAAATTTTAAATTAAAATGATTTTGGGCCTTCAGAGTTTCTAATCCTAATTAAAACACTAGAGATTATATATCACAACAGTTCAGTAAAGAAATAAAGATACTTCAATTGGATGTGGAAAAATTATTCTACATAATTATATTTATAAGCAGCTATAGTAATTCAAATGCTTCATTTAAATGGGATACATATATACAATAATATAACGATACAATAATACAACAATAGACATTCTGTCTCTCATGGACTATTTTAATAACTATTGGTCATTATAACTCTGGTCTGGACAAAATGTATGACTGCTTGCGTGAGAGGGTTTTTTTTATCTTTCCCTTCACTAGCTGGAATCCTAAATAAGAAAAAAAACTGTTTTCAGTTCAACAAAGTTCTGTGAACTGAAATATATATTTTCATAGAAAGAATACAGTAGTGTATCCATTTTTCTTTTAACAATTCAGTTTTGAAATTTAATTTTCACATTATGTTTGAATGATGCTTTTATATGTGTATTTATAATATTTATATATTTATCGTATTTATTTTTTTATTTGCTTGTCTCAAACTATATCATTCAATATGGCCTCAATGCTCTGTGCCATAACATCTGGCCTAACTGCCTTATATATAATAGATTTAAGATGAAAAAAATAAAATAAACGGGGACCAGTTACAGGGAGAGATAGTGAGCTTCCATTCACTGGATATATGTAGCAAAGCTAGTCACAATCTGTTCAGAATGGTTTGATTTGAATTTTTGCTCTGAATAGACATTGGACTTGATGGTGTAGACTGTAGATAACTCCTTCCAACTCTCTGATTATATGAAAATACTTGAAACAGAAAAGTGGACCTTAATAAGTCAGATTGTTTGATTATGTAAGCAAATAACAGTATTGTTATAAGTAGCATCCTTTCACTGGAACAATTTGCTGTACCTCACAACTATCCATGTGTAATAAAAATCTGGTTGTGTGCTTGCTTTTCCCCAGGGGTTTGAATCATTCCTTAAAGGTAGAGCCCTTACTTTTGTGTAGAACAGGGGTAGGCAACCTTGGCTCTTTTATGACTCGTGGACTTCAACTCCCAGAATTCCTGAGCCAGCCATGCTGGCTCAGGAATTCTGGGAGTTGAAGTCCACGAGTCATAAAAGAGCCAAGGTTGCCTACCCCTGGTGTAGAAGATCCTAGGAAATTCATCAGGCACTGACATCTGTAATAGGAAAAGACCCTTGTTTAAAGACTTGGTGAGCTACTCCAAGTTAGGGAAGATAACCTTTTAAGCTAAAGTATACGGGCCAAGGGCCATTATAAAACAAATTTCTTTTTCTTCCTGGCTATCTAGGAAGGAAATAGAGCCCAGTATCATTATTTTGTTTTTGAACTGTTGCTTTGATAATGCTGGTCAGAAGAGGAAAGCACACTGGAACTTAGTAAGGCTACTGAACTTCCTCAGCCTGGATGGCTCTAGCTCTGTTGGGTTTCAGCTCCCCAAATTCTTAGCTATTGCCCATGCTGGCTGAGAATTCTAGGGCTTGAAATTTAGTATTTGAAGGGCACTAGCTTGGAGAAGGTGGTTTTAGACTGCAAATGTAAAAGACTCCATACTGGAGTTGCCCCAGATAAAATTCAAAAATCAAAATCCATGAGCTAGCCATTATGCATAAGGTATTTTATGGAACAGAAAGTGAAAAATAGTCTACTAATTAAATTTTCGTGAGCTCATCCTTGCTGCTGGTGTGGTCTGCAGAGATAGCTGTGTTGCATATCTGGAGTTAGAAATCTGTGATTTCTATTGAATGTCAGCATTTAACAAACAAGGTTGACTTTTATATTTTTCCTTTCCTCCATTCTTGAAAGAATCATTTATGCCAGGTACTTAAAAGGAAAACTCCTAATTGTCGGAAGTAGTGTTCTTTGCCTTGAATTTAAATGGGTTAACATTTTGAATCAAAGGATTGCATCATTGTTTTGGATAAGTGCTCTCATGTATCAAGTAGGGGGGGGGAGTTAAACAGTTTGGATTACAACAGTAATGAAATGAGCGCTGCATACTTTCCTTTTCTTCTGGGGCATGTTCTTTTTCAAAGTTTGTCCTTTGCTTATTCTCAGCTAAGTGTCTCAGTTATATTTCCCAGCACAAACTGTGTTTACAACTTGGATAATAGCACTCCAGAATTTGTAATCTTATTTTTAACAAAAAATAGATAAAAAAGATAGTTCTCCTATCAGTAGAACATAAAATAGATAAAAAAGATAGTTCTCCTATCAGTGGAACATAATATTTTATTCATTAAAGAGGTGAAGGCCATTACTATGTCCAGAGTATAATTTCTCTTTAAGTGTCACATATTATGACCACTTATCTAAATCAGAGATTGGTAACATAGGATCCTCTATATACTTAATATTCAAAGAAATAAATAGACCTAAACATGTATCACTTGATACGATGTTTTTATGGATATTAAGATGTATTCATTAACTAATGAAGAATATCAACTGTTAATGGAAAAAATGGCTGTCTATATGCTATTATGAAAGAATATCATTAAATGTTAATAGAAAGTACTGGAAATTACTGAACCAATTAAAATAAATGTCTTTATTTTAGA